CACCCAGCACTCTTCCCTGCCTATGCAGGGGGTCAGACTCGATGATCTCAAGCAAATCCCGGGACGTCTCAAGCAAATCCCGGGACGTCTCTCAAGCAAATCCCGGGACGTCATTCTCCCCCTGTACTCGGCCTTAGTGAGGCCGCAGCTGGAGTACTGTGTCCAGTTTTGGGCTCCACAATTCAAAAAGGATGTGGAGAAGCTTGAGAGAGTCCAGAGAAGAGCCACGCGCATGATCAGAGGTCAGGGAAGCAGACCCTACGATGACAGGCTGAGAGCCCTGGGGCTCTTTAGCCTGGAAAAGCGCAGGCTCAGGGGTGATCTGATGGCCACCTACAAGTTTATCAGGGGTGACCACCAGCATCTGGGGGAACGTTTGTTCACCAGAGCGCCCCAAGGGATGACGAGGTCAAATGGTCACAAACTACTTCAAGATCGTTTCAGGCTGGACATAAGGAAGAATTTCTTTACTGTCCGAGCCCCCAAGGTCTGGAACAGCCTGCCACCGGAGGTGGTTCAAGCACCTTCATTGAACACCTTCAAGATGAAACTGGATGCTCATCTTGCTGGGATCCTATGACCCCAGCTGACTTCCTGCCCTTTGGGCAGGGGGCTGGACTCGATGATCTTCCGAGGTCCCTTCCAGCCCTAATGTCTATGAAATTAATCTTTAATTACTAGAGGTGTAAGCAATCCCTATACCCATCATAACTACCCCAAATTCCAAGCATGTATGCTACAAGGCTTCAAAAAGGCACCCCACCCCCAGCCGTGCAGCAAGATTAGAACACAGAGTGCCATAGCTTTATAAAATTTAACCATTCAGTAATACAATGTCATTAGCACAACCTGAAATACCTGCTCACTTGATGGAAGGGGATAAGCTAAAAGTTAAACTGTAAGCTAAGGATCGCTGTCCTCCCATACTGCAGGACAATCTCTTTGCCGTTTTAGACCGGAGCTTGTCATATTATACAACAAAACAACCCACGAAGGACCATGTTATAAGCATCCCATATACAGGGCAGCTCAACTGCTCCAGCAATGACAGAAAAAAAAAACACCCACTCCTTGCTAAGCCCCCAGGAACAAGATTATTGACCTTAAAGTTCCTGTTTCTGCAAGTGAGTTTAAACCTTCATATAACCAATATACTGCCCTAACAGATATCTTTGAGTGCTCAATGACCCAATTTAAACAAATGGAGAACCACAAGGGCAAGTCTGTAACTAGCTAATGAGTCTCTCTCACCCAAAACCTCTCTACTCTGAGCATCAGCTCCAGAATTACTCACAGGAAGCAGCAGATTCCTTCACGATATCTGGCACAGTGGTCAGGAACTTAAACAAAATGTTTAATTTTAAAACATGTACCCCCTAAGAAAAACAAACACAAACACACACTTTTAAGATGTGAATCCTGTGGTTTCAGAAGCTTTGCACTTGATTTCCCTGGCCAGTTGAGTTTAGGTTCCCCTCCTACACACATCAACCCTTGAAACATGCTGCTCTGAGATTTACTTTGTTTGTATCTACTAAACAGATTTCCACCAGCAGGGAAGAGAGCTAGTGATGGCTGTCAATTTGAGAGAAACCCAGGCAAAAGTTATGGAAAATTAAATTTTAGACAAGAGGTTGTGCGTTTTGTTTTTAAATAAAAAGCCTAGTGATCTTCATTATGAGTAAAAATTAAGGCACCTCATCTTCTTGAGACTAAAAACCTATTCCTTGGAAACACCAGCTATCAAAAATATATGCAGCATTTCCTAATTGGGCAATGATGACCTCAGAAATTCCTGGACCTTGGCAGGTAAGTTACATTTTTCAGGGCAGGGACAGTAAGACTATGCAAGCTGTAATCTTGAGAGTGAAAGGCAAAGAGGAGAGAGAGAAGAAGATTGCCAGCTTCACGTAACTTGTCTCTTGATCCAGTTGCCATTGCTTTAGCCAAAGCTCATCAGGCATTTTGCAGCAACTGCTGAGCAAGGCACACAGTCTTCCCTTTTCTCTTAAAGTCAGCAGGTTTATGAATACTATAGTTACTTATTTTTCTCCTTTTAGGACGCGGGCCAACTCTGAGCTTGACACACATTGAGAGAAAATTTCAGGTCTCTGTAAAAACCCTAGGGGAATATAAACTTTAGATTAAAAAAAAAAAAAAATCATGGCATGGAAAGCAGACCTGAAGAATAAGAGGGCTTCCTCCTTAACAGTAAGGCCTAAGAGACACAGTGAAACAGCCATTTAGAAGAGTCTAAGAATGTGCCACATGGCTCAGTTTCTTCAGTGAACTTCACAGTTTATTTAGGCACAGAGAAAGCTTTGTTAAGAAAAGGCCAGAGTAAAAGTTGAGACAGTCGTCAATATGATGCTGAAGGATAGAGTCCTATGGTTCCTCACTGGAAGGAAGCTGGAGTTCCTCATCCTTTTCTGCCTCAGGGAGAAAAAAAATCCTCCATCTGAACTAGCAGCCAGCTAAGCTGAATGCAGATTGCTCTTCTGATGTGCTACAGGAAACTCCTTCAAGACTCAAACACAGTTTATAACTGTATGATATGCAAGACAAGCTGCCCAATGAGACCTCAAAAAAGAATGTCACTAATGATGCTTTCTTTGTTTTTCCCTTCTCTGTTAGGTTTCTACAGACAACAAAGCCTGCTTCTTAAAAGAAAAATAGTTAAACTGACAAGACTAGATTTGGTTTTGCTTCAGGCTAAAGAAAAATAAGCAATAAGTTAGGGAATGTCATTTTTGTGTTGTTAATGAGAATGAAGGTTCATACAGTCTTCCCACTATTGGTTAAGGCGGCAAAAATGTTACGTTAGTCACAAGCAAACTAAAAAAATAAATAAATACTTCTGCATAAAGGTAACAACGACAGAAGCAAGCTGCCTTACAGACCAGTTTACCTCCTGCTGACAAACTAATCTCAAAGTGTACTATCTGATTTATGTTTGTGTTCTATACCACATGAAAGTATTATTAGAACCAACAACAAAAAAAAGTTACCTTTCCTGAAACAGATTCTCCATCATAGAAAAGATAATGTTTTTCTACTTTACCATCTTCGGTTTTGATTTCTGCTGTTTTTCGTGTTTCTGCATCATTAAGTATAACATCAATTTCACAAACAGGACCAAAAAAGCCACCAAGAAAACTCTGAAATAAAAAAGAAAGGTAAATTATCATGGGGTAGAGATCAGGTAGGGGAAGGGGCACTGGGGTTGTGGCCTTAGACTTTTTTCCCAGCTTAAAGTTATTTTCCCATTACATAATGTGCCCTTCAGAGATGGAGGGACCGACCCCAATCTGCAACTGTAAAACACAAATTTTTTAGGATTATCCAACTCACTTGGGTAGGATTTTTTTTAAATATATTCAGAGACAATTTCATAATAGCCACCCAGACAGCAGTTAGCAAATAATTAAAAAGGTCAGTCATAAGCAACAGAAGTCCAGGCAAACATTTGCAACAAAAAGTAAGAACCAGTTATGAACTCTAAAAAGAAATGCCACCATTGCATATGGCAGCAACAAATGGCAAATGTAACTAACAACTGCAAATAATTCAGCTCTCGTAATCCTAACCACATATCTTTTCACCAAAATGAAGAAGAGTTCTTAAATTATATTTAGGAAGCCTGGACTGAAAAACAAGCTTTGCTTCCTTAGAGTTAGGGAGGCGGGACATGCAGCGCATGCTTACATTGTAAACTTACTGTCAGGCAGCAGTGCTCTCAAGTTCAGAAGCACTGCTAGTTAACTCAGGTGCAGCAACACAAATACTAGACTGCTTTATGTTAGGTGGCAAAGTGAGGGAAGGTGCATGTGCACAGTACTGCAGCATGTTTGAGGTCATATGCCCACACTGTCACGTTACATGTTGTTTACTAGGATAGAGACAGGTAGGCTGTAGTCTATTCAAAAGGGAATCTAAAGGAAACTCAGCAAGATTGGGAAAAGTTTGGCCCAGTACTGTGCACTAATCCCCAAGCTCACGGAAGAAAATATTCCAAATGATTCACAACTGCTCCAGAACAAAAGTTTCAGATCACCAATCACAGCATTAGATGTGGACCTTCATTTAATTAGAGGCAGTAAATATAAACCTAAGATAAATAACCTCATTTTAGTAATTGTACCCCCAAACAACTACAATTAAGGGGGAAAGGTGTGATGAAATCACTTTAAAGTGTCCCAAAGAGCAGAAATTGCTAAAATGAAAGTTTCTGCACTGTTGAAATTACATGGGGTAACAGATGACAGAGAAAACTGCAAGATGCCAGAGAAAGGACAAAGGACCACTTCAGCGTTAAGGTATTTTGAGGCACGCAGGACTAAGTGAACTGAAAGTCGCTTCTTCACCTGTCTCTTTGGCAAACTGCTTCAATTCACTTTTCAAAGAGCCATAACAGAGCAAAGCTAAACTATACCTAAACCATGTTAGCTATACCTAACCCACGTTCACAGTCAAAAGACCAGAGCTGAAAAGCAGCACTAAGAGGAGCTTAAATCTAGCACAAAACAAGATTTTTGTTACTATTATAATACCACTGGCTTCCCCAGGAGCATGGGCACATTAAACCCTACGCACACAACGATCCTCCAATTTTTCAGCATTTACATGCATTAATCTAAAAAAGCTATTAAGTTTTATGCATGTTTACCTCTAAAACAAAGCAGCAAAACACAGGTTACATTCAAGGCCTGCATCACTTAAGATCACCCAGCATTTCACATTAGTCACAGCACCATGTAAGCAGAGTTAGTAGCAGAGCACCTCAAAAAAGACTACAAATAATTTGATTTCAAATTATTGCTCTTATAACTTGGTTTAGGATTTCATTCTGAGGAGGATACAACTTTGAATAAAAACACGACCCCAGCTCATGCCAAAATGGTTTACAAGTCAGCCTATAAGCCAGCCAGTTTGAGAGAGAAGTTGAGACCAGGCAGCGCAGACAGACGTTACAGAAGACACACTGTTTTGAAACATCTTCATCTGACCCCACATGCAACAAGGGGTCAGATTTTCACATAATTGGCCATTTTTGAAGCTGTCTGCAGCTGTGCACTTGTTTAGTCACGGCTACAAACTGCTTTCTGTGGTCAGACGGGGCAAAAAGTATCACTTCCATCTGTGCCCAAAATGCCTGTACAGGCAATTTAAAGTTTTCATCGCTTTCCTTAACATAGCTTAGTCCAAGACCCCTTACAGGCTTTCTTGTTGCCTTTTTTTTTTTTTTTTTTTTAAAGAAATGTTGAGAGTGGGTCTCTCACCAGATCACGCTGTTACTTCAGCGACACAGAAACCATACCAAACGCATCAAAGTACCGGGAGCCCGCATCCCCAAATGGCCATACTGCACCCCTCCGCGGGGCAGCCCCACGGCGCACAGGCTGGGGGGCGGGGGGCTAAGGACGGGGGGCCCACGGCTCCCGTCACAGCCCGAGGGAAAGCGCCGAGAGCCGCGGCCGGGACCGGCCGGGCTCCGACACACACCAGAAGCGAAGTCTTGCGTGGAAGGCTGCGGCCGGGGCGGGCAGGGCCGGCCCCCCCCGCCCGCGGCCGAGTCCGGCCGCCCCAGGCCTGCACCGCACGCGTGCCCCACAGCCCCGAGCCGGGCAAGTCGCCGGAGGTGGGGGAGAATCGGGCCCCCGGCCCGCGCTCACCATGGCCACTTCCCCTCCGCGTCCGACTCCCACCCCGAGCAGCAGCGGCCCCGACCCGCGCCCCTATCATGTGACCCAGCGCCCGTCACTCCCCGCCCCCCGCACGTGACCGCCGCTCGGGGCGGGGCAGGGGGCCGCCAGGGGGCGCTACCCGCCGCTGCCAGCTCGGTTGCAGGGGTAGAGCGAGACCCGCCCGCGCGCGCACGGAGGAACCAGGATCCGCCTTTTTAGCAACCGGGAGACTCAGCCGCGCTGACGCAGACAAGCGTGAGGCTAGTATCTCTAGTTGCTTGTGCGCCCTACGGGTCCCTCGGTTTAGCCACTCGTGCGGCAAGCAGATGCAGAGGTGGACGCTGTTGATCCAGCACCAGCTCCCGCCAGGGAGCATGTAGCTGCTGTAGCTCCTTGGACAACCAAACTGTGGGGCCTTCGCAGGCGCTAGCTGTGGCCAGCAGCGATGGTGCGCCTAAACAAGTGCGGCAGAGATGTAAATAAAGTAAGAGTTGGCTTTAAACATAGGTTTCAAACACGGATCCTAGTTTGCTGACACGGAACAGCTGCCACGTGTCTGCATGTGCAATAGGGGGAGTGGTTTTCAATGCGCTACCGGGGTAGAAATGAAAGACTGCTCTGTTTGCTTTGGAAGCGGTACCAGCAGAATGAGTTTCTTTCAATGTCACAACTACAGGTTCCCCTTGCTTTACGCTGTACACACATTCCTGGACAATGGCGCATAACTCAAATTCACATAAAGGGAACCCACTTTATAACCTAGCAAATAGGGATACGTTCCAAGACCTCGACTGTACTGACCCTCAGATTCATTTCTACCACTTTCACAAAACAATTTTGGTACTCACCAACGGCAGACAGTGCACAGGGCACTATCATAATGGGGATGGCAACTATAGAAACACGTGTCACAGACAACAAGCAAGGAGCACAGACCCACACAGGAGGCTATTTTGGTGTGTGTCACTCCCACAATGCACCGCACAAAGCAACTGACTGGGCTTCCGCCACACGGATCATATAAGAGTTAATTTACCTTGTGTATAACGAATTTTTGGTATAAAAAGGGTCATTGCATAAGAGTGAATTCACGCGTACAGAACCTTCATAAAGCGGGGGAAACCTGTATTACAATCCCTACAGACTACAGTAGTTCCTACAGGGCCCCATTTCAGGTAGAGCCCATTGTGTATACACATCTAATGAAAAGATAATCCATAACCTAAAGAATTTACCATCTGAGTCAAATGCAAGGTTTTGGCCCTTATTTTCAAAGTGCTCAAGAACCTATGCCCTAGCTAGCTAAAGATCGCCTGAAGCTCTGGGATAAGGACCATGGTCAACAACCTCTTCCTCAGGCACAGTAAAGATTTCTACCACAAGGAAATAGTTTGTGGAGGAGCCAGAGCTTTCTCAGGGACAGAGCTGGCCCATCCTATCCTGTGAAACTTGCAGCCACAGGGGAACCATAAGCGGCAGAAATGAGGGGGCTAACAGGGCTCAGCCGCCCCCAAACGGGGCAGCAGCAGGCATTGCCTTAGGGCAGCTTAGACACAGGAAGCTGCAGCAGGGAGGAGGGGTCCACACACACAGATACCCTTCACTTGTAGCCAGCACCACAGCTAGCCCAGCTGTACGCAGGCAAGTAAATTTCTTTTAATCTTTCTTTGTTACCCTGGGCTTGGGGGATGAGGTCAGCATGAGACCCCCCACAGTTCAGGAGAGAGTGGGTATGGACAGGGCAAATCATTCACCCCTGCCCCGCTCCCTGTTGCACTATGGGGATTGTCCCATGACCTGACCCACCTCCCATTCACCATGAATGTAGCCCAGCTGGGTCAGGTCATGGGACAATCAGAGCCCAGCAGCTCTTCCAGGGAGCAGGTAAGCAGGTCCCCCAACTGTGCACACCATGGGGAGCCAAGAGGAAGGGGGAGGAGGAGTTCCAACCGGCTCCCCCACGCCATGCCCCTGGATGAGCTGCCAGGCTCCGATTGCCTCACAACCTGGCCCAGCCAGGGCCCTATTTACAGTGAATCGGGCCCTGGCCAGGCCAAGTCATGGGACAATTGGAGCCCAGCAGCTCCTCCAGATGCACGGCACCAGACAGCCAAGGCTGAGGGGAGGGCATGTGCCCCCCCAATCTTTGCACAGGGCAAGGGTGGGCCACAGCTGTGAGCTGCACTCCGCTCCTTGCCTCAGCACCTCGCCACTGCTCCTTTAAAAGCAGCGTAGCAGAGTACCATGTGCCTTGTTGCCTGGCAAGGAGCCCTCTGGCCTGGTGATGCAGCCAAGGCTGGCCCCACTCTGGCCCCTGGCTCTGCCCCCCCACCACGGGGCGGTGCACAGCCAGGACCAGGAGGCAGTTGGGGCTGGGGCCATTGTGACCAGGGCCAGTGCAGCAGCCAGGGCAACCAGGGCCGGGGCCAGGGCCAGGACAGCAGCTGGGCCTGGCACAGCTGGGACCAGGAGGCAGCTGGGGCAGGTGCAGCATGGCACCAGGCGATGCTGCTCCCTACCTGTGGCCCTTTACCCTTCCCCCACAGACTTTCCCATGGGGGGGGCGTGTGTGCATGCATGCTCAGCCCCCCCAATTTTTTCTTCCTCTGCCTATGCTGTGAACACTCTGGCACCACCAATCCGTGCTGCCGCCATTTTTGGTGGCGGGGGGGCCCCCCCCCCAACAGCTTCTTTGCATCAGGAAGCCCTAAAACTGTATCTTGTAGGAGGCCCCAAAAATGGTGGGCCAGCCCTGCTCAGGGGGTAGTTGTCTGTGGCTAGGGTCCCACAGGAACCCAGGGTAGTGAAAATCCTCACCAACTCCTACTCTGAACGCAAGGAACGTCTGCTTTTGACCTTCTCCAGTATGAACATACAGCAGCATGTTCATGTTTAAAACAACAGTAAAACACTTCAACAAATACAGGGCACACACCATGTTTTACCTGAGGAGAGCACAAGAGAAAGAACTATAGATGAGCATCACACACTACAGTGATGAGGGCAGTGTAAGAACCTATATCAGAGAGAACAAAAATATATAACTAGACAACCCACAAAGCATCTGTGAGATGGCATAATACCCATACAGTTATAAATGTTCTTCATTCATAAATCCTATGTTTCTAGGAATGAAGGAAGGTATTCAGCTTATAGACACAGTCTGCAGCAATGGGCACTGTTTCTGTCTGTTTATGTAAATAGATACACATATAAAGGGTAATTGTTTCAACTGTAAACAACCCCACTGGTGACAGCTTATCTTGGCTGCCACGCTAGCACAGGACTGCAACATCTAATTACTAAAATGTGTCTAAGCTTTTTGTTACCAAAAGCAGTTTACAACTTCTTACAAATGAAAAGCTGCCTCCTTAGGCTGAAGCTAGAAAAGATGCTTCCTTAGCCTATGTGAAATGAAAAGCGAATGGGTGGAAAATATTGCTATGTTACTCCACACATCCTTCCCTCCCTTCCACAACCTCCCCCAGTGCCTTATGACTGGGGTATTTGGGTAAAATAGTAGGAGGAGTTCAGTTTAGGTATTCAAATAACTCCATGATCATCAAATATGAAATTATTGGCCTGCAGCTATGATTGATGGGCAAAGGTTGATTACTAGATAGAATCATCAGCAAGAAGTGCAAGAGCGATCCAAGAGCAATGTAGGTGGTACTAGATATAGGGTGTACTAGATCTGTTTAGGGTGTATCTGATATAGGGTGTACTAGAGCTGTTTCAAGGCAAAGAAGAGAATTTCTCTCAACGTAGAAACTCTTTTAATAGACATGAAGAAATCATTTTGCACTCTACATCTTCATCTTAAGGATCTATGATATTTAATAGATATGATATCTTATATTATCATAACCTATGTGATACTGGGAATTCAATTTTGCCCAAATTCTATCAGTTTAAATGGGATGAAGTGAATTTGCTCTGTGCCATATTATCCATCCATTAACGGTCTGGTTAAATGTTTGTTGCAAACCCAGACTTTAAGTACTTCAACAAAGTTTAAAAGCAGAGGTTCTGTAACCCGTCTTGCTATTTTTTATTTACCAGTACTTGCTTGGATACAAATATATTCTTAAAGAGCAGTACCACTATATTAACACAAGGTCAGAATTTATAATCACCTGATAAAAACAGAGATGTGACAACCAATCTGGAACAAGCAGACTGCTTGCTTAGCTCTATCAGGGGTTGATTTAAATTAAACAAACCTAAGTTACGCAAAGTTAAAAAAAATCCCTCAATGCTCTGTATTAATTTAACTAAGTCTGCTTAAAACCAGTTTTAAGTTTAACTGATGTTATTATTATTTGGTAGAACAGAACTTTATTTCCAAGAATAGCTGTCTGTAAAGTATATAGATTTCCATGATAGAACAACTATTTGTAGTGCTAAGTCATATCTGCTAAGAGACTCATTTACAAGAACTTTGTCTATTGCCAGATATTTCTTGGAGCATTCAGATCCCATGGTTTTTCTTGGCAGTCTACAAAAAGGTACTAGAGATCACAGCAATGATACCAAGAAAAATATAACAAGTAGAAATTTAGAACCAGCTGGGTTATGTAATGAGGCCACATCAATCTTTGGTTGTTGAATATATA